TACGCATAGGATGGTAGCCGATCCGTTTACTAAGCCCATTCCTAGAGATGTTTATCTTGCTCATGTTCGAGNTCTAGGTTTGCGTAGAATTTGATGTATGTACTAATGGAGCTTTGATATTTGACATTGTATTTATGTTTAAGGATTTATATGTCTAAAGATATTTCAGACATAGTTTATGATGGTTATTTTTGTAGCATTTGCATATTTACACACAAATATTGAGAAGTGTCACCAAGAAGTGTCACTCACATGAACAATCGCCTCAAATTCTTTGTGAAATGTTGAGGTGAGACATGACGAGCTTGGCGCTAGTGGGAGCTTGCCTCGTAAGGATAGTCAATGCCGCCTTGAAAGAGTCAATATGAGATATGCCTATCGAGATATCGATCATGATTGACCAGAATCATGAATACTTGGAAGAGCTGGATAAGTACATAATCAAGCGCTAGATAGCGAGCTGATAGTAGCTTGATCCACATAGTAGTATTTGGTTTAACCAAATGACATATGCTCTTGAAGAAAGAGTTAACTACTATGACATGTGATTTATACCACATGTGCTAGTACGATCATATAGGAAGCTAGTGATATTATATTTGTAATCCCTATCACTCGCAATGTGAGTTCCTATTAACCTTATTATGGTTTTAAGTGTTACCCTTGAACCTGCGTCTATGTTCTTGAAGGGATAAGCTAGTGTTCGCTACTTTAGTATGTTTTCTGATGGTGATGGAATAATTAGCCTTACGGGACATGCTAGGAAAGCGGTTAGTTTGGAACAGATGGACATGAGTACGGAAAGGGAAAAACTATTTGTTTGTACATTGACATATGTGTTTGCTGGCCAGCCACTATATCGGTCAATTGGAGTTTGAATATAGTGAACGCATGATGTGAAATGTCTAACATATGCTATATGGATAAGATATGTTGAGATTGATGTAAAACATAAATAAGTTTGGGGAACAGCGAGACATGGTGAAATGCAAATATTTTCTCTTTTAGCAGTTATATATCCCTAACAGGTGCATAGTTTGCGCCCATGATTTGGCAGCATACCGAACTGGTTTAGTTAACCGGTAGTTATGAGATATTGAATAATCATAACTATACAAATGACAATCGTGTCTTTTGGTACATGTCTTTTCGTTGTCTATATGATAGACATTTGTAGAGAGACATAGACACACTTGTGTCCATTGACACCAAGAAAAAACTCTAGAGGGAGAGAAAAACGGTTTAGAGAGAGAAAGCTTCGAGAGATCAACCGAAAGGGCATTTGAACGGTGGTTTGTGGTTGATTTCCGTCTGCCATCTCAACCCCAATCTCTGCGTCGATTTTCAGTCCTATTCGTGTCAAGTTCTTCACCAAACCGGCCAAGGTATGTGTTCCGATTTAACGCTTCCGCATATGAGATTAACAGAGACGAAACTAACAATTGCTGGATCAGATTTTATGTCATACGAAATCAAGTAATTAACCATCTTTATCATCATGGATTCATCGATACAAAAATTGAAGAAAAGCAAATGTTATCATATTTTTCTTTGCGAATTTGAACAAATGAATATAACGACTTGTGACAAAAAAAGAAGAGTATCATGAATATTTTATCCTTGTTTAACAATACTTTTTTTATCATAAAATATAATATATACATGAAATTGTTATCACACTAAAATATATAGAAAAATACATATTTGTATATGATTTTAAAGTTATATAACAATGGTCATGAAAAACATACATAGTAACTAAATAAATATAAATAATTACCTTATTTTATAAATTCTAAATACATGAATGCCCACATAGGATGTCTCTGAGTGAACTAGTGTTAAACAATTTTGAAAAGTTTAGGATAATGAAGAATAATTTGTTGTTTTACTCTATATTTCACAAAGGTTTTCGATTCTACGAAATGTGGAAAATTGGTAAAAGGCAGTAGCCTAGAATGTTTATAAATGATAAGACTTGTTTGTGCATACGAAGATGAGAACATTTTGAATATTTGTTGCTCATCATTCGATAAAACTCACTGAGAACCATACCGTACCACACATGTCTTTTGCTTGAACTTGATAAGCCAATAGAGGCAGGAGAAGACTGGATCTGCAAGCAACAGTGGTCCTCTTCACTTGTGCTTCTTTCTTAGTATTAAATCGCATCTCTGTTTCTTTCTTCTTTAATCACATATCAGTTTATGTGTCAGTGGTCCTCTCCATCTCCAGCGATTATACTCTTCATATCATTTACTCCGTACATGATGCCTTTCAAATTGTTCCTGTCTCTTCACTGTTGGCTTTTTCTGGTTTTGTGTGTCCCTGTTTTACCGCCATTTTCAACTTTATAATTTCAAAATACTCAAAAGGATAATAAATCTTGAAACATCATTTGTGAGTGAATTAAGTCTGTTCATCATAATCACAGACGAAACAAGAATTTGCT